CAACCAGCGTCAAATTCCAGCTTCAGTTCCTCTGTGTGTGCTATCCTTTATTAAGTAGGTTGAAGCAAATCGGCCCCGTGCCACAAATGACTGTGGCCAATACCCTGGCAGCACTTTTAGGAAGGAGCTCAGATCTATCTGCCAATTCTTACAGCTATGTTCTTTGACTGGTTAAGTTTATTTGTACTAGTGTCAGCACAACTCTAAATGTTGCTTTTCCTTTCTGGGATTCATACAGCAATGAAGAACCTCCAAATCCTCTCCACTCCCCCATCCCCAAAACCCCTGGAAGCAATCCTACTAATTTGAAGTAAACTAAGTAATTTAGTTTAGATTTAGTTTCCAAGTTTGAACTTAGAACTATGCAAAACACTGTAGAAAAAATATTTCTTCCTGAAAGAAAGTGGTTATTAAAATCAACTTAGATTCTTAATATAGGAGAGTTCTGCTTGAGAAACTCATACAGTTGGTCCCTATCTAGGGTTTCATCTGTTAGAGCTGTATAACACTGTACAGTTTTCATTAAGTGGCTGGTCTATCTGAATTTAGTTCTGTTTTAAGAACTAATTCTCTTTCCAGCTTCTTTAGAACACGTTTATGAAGAATCAAAGTATCATCATACACATTCCTGAAACTATAGATGCACAGAATGGTTTGGATTCGAAGGGACCTCAAACATCTTCTAGTTCCAATCCCTCATCGTGGGCAGGGACACCTTCCACTAGACCAGGTTACTCAGAACTCCATCCAGCCTGCTCTCGAAAATTATGTTTCCAGAAATTCTTCCTTGGCTCTGAAAATGCAAACAACCCCTCCCTGCATTTTGATAGCTCAAGCCATTCCAAGAAATGCATGCATCTCAAAGATAACAGTTTATCAGGTTATACTTTCATTCTGGTTTATCACATATTGAAAAGCTTTTATGCACTGATAGGATTTTATACATGTCTTGAGAACTGAACTCATTTTAATTAGTGACAATTAAAAAACATTAACAAAACAACTTTCTGATGCTCTAGTATGAATCAATTTGTTCTGTTAGAGCAGCCCAGAGAGTGAATTATTGTTTTAGAAACAAGATGTTGGATAATGAGGCACTCAGGGTACAGGACACTAACATGAGCTCTCTGGGCTGGTGCTGTCTAAAATTACTGGTCTTTGGAAAAAACCAAACCTGAAAACAAACAAGTATTCTGCAACTAGTAAAATACTGGTAACAATCCACTGGGTGAAATGTGAAATTTGCTCTGTTGTATCAGTTTTTTTCTTTTTTTCATATTATCTCATAAATATGGATCTTGCTTTCATCACTGAAACAGGAAGATCTGTGAGGTTTCTTTCCCATGGATTCTTTATGAAGTATGAGTCTCTTTTACAGGATACAAACTGATTCACTGAATGTATCTGCATTTGTAGAAATGAGTGTGAAGTGTCACATTAAGAGTTTAACTAGCTTATTAGCTATCTTCTAACTCACTAGTAAATTTCATCCACATGGAACAGGTGTTGCATCACTTTTGCTATAAATTCACACCCCAGCTGACATTCCAGCTATTTTCTTGTATAAATGAATGAAGAGAATCTTCTATTGGTGTAATTAAACTACATTTAAGTCGTTATTTGAATTAATCCAGAAATCATTTAGACTAAAATCAGAGAAAATACTGGCATGTTTTCATCATGTACTTATTTTTGGCCTTTGTTTTTGAATACCCAGCTTTGCACTTTGACGTATAACTGAAAAACGCTGTGAAATTTGACTGAGTTCAAATGGATTTCTAACTACCACCCTTGGTTTTTGAGAACCAATCCTTCTGTACTCATCTCAGTTATCCAATAATGCTGTTCAGATCTCAAATCACATCTGGTTCTTCTCCAAATTTCTTCCAAGTTTTCAGATTGGTATTCTACAAGTGGGGATGATCTCCCACGACACAGAAACAACGGAGGGAGTAACAGCTCCATGTTCAACAGCAACTCACACAAATCTGCTTTACCTTGTAATGGACATAATCAGACACTGCATCTCACTAACTTTTTAAAAGTTAACTATATAAAAGGAAGCAGAACCCAGTTGCCTTGCTGTATTGTTCATTCTCTTGTTTTGCTCCAGAATTGGAAGGAACGCACGTAGGTCCCAGCACACTACTCAGTTAAAGAAATTAATCAACTATTTACAAAATATCTAAGATAGGTGGATATACTATAAATTCCATCTCCTTAGTTGCTGGGACCTTAAGTAAATTTTCTAAAATAAATATTTATAAAGCTTACCTCTTCATCTCAAAGAAAACATGACCCTAACTCTCTCAGAATTAACTACTGCCCAAATAGATTGTTGAAAAGAAACTTCAGTAAACTTCAATATACCAGTAGAGCATTAAACAACAGTTTTCAAATAATTTACATTTCAGACCATCCAAAAGTAACTTGCACCTATGCAAATATGGCATTAGTTTTTTAACTGGTCTGCATCAGGCAGTGACTGGGCAGGGTTGCAGTATGCATGACCAGACATGTACCTTTGGCTGTGCAATCCAAGCACACACACATCATGTGATGGAGAGGTCTCTGTTTTGGTCATGTATGGGACTCTTACCCAGTTACCTGGTGGAGGAAAGCCTGTGGAATTTTCAGGAAAGCGTGGCAGGGAGTAGGCTGCCAGAACAATTAAAAACCAAAGACTGTTTTAGCTTAGATGTGGAAACTCCTCTGGGAAGAGGAGTTTTCAACAACCAGAGTGTTGTTCTAGATTCAAATATGAGATTTTAAAACAAGGCTATTAGGCTTTTTATTGTTGACTTGATTTCAGCTACATTAGATTTTATTTTTTCAGTTTCTAATGATTTTTCTATACAATACTAAAAACAAAATTGCCATTTTCACAATCAAAAACTTGCATAGTGAAATAGAGAGCACTTCTGTTGAACAAAAGTTTTGTGTTGTTTTTCCCCTTCTAGTTTTGAAGATGCTCCTGCTGCGTCACATCAATTTTGATTTGACTCCAACTCTTTCATAATTGTCTCTATGGTTTACTTCATTTTAAGCACTTGAAATAACAAAAAGGCATTCTGAAACTGAAGATGTGTTTGACTGGTGGGAAGTAACACTACAGTTAGTCATGTGCATGGTAGCTAAACCAAAATATGGTATATTCTTGTTTTTATCTCAGTAGAGTTCAGACAAACCCAATGAAAGTGCACTCAAAGATCTCATATTTATTAGCAAGTTCTCTGGGCCTGCAAGTATTCCAGAACTTCAATATCTATTAATAAACCAGTGGCAGAGTGGGACTGCTATCTGCTGACAAGACAGCCTTGATAATACAACAGCAAAGCTATGATTATAAAAGCAGTTGAGTTTCCAGTGTAGATCTCTTAACACTCCATTTTGAAACATTTGAAGTTTGCCAAGCATAAATATGACCATTTTGAGATATTACAGCCACTTAAAATCCTTGAAAACCTCTGAGCCTAAAATGAGGGCACAGAAAATCCTCAGTAAGGATGTGTGTTTTGTTATGACTACAAAGTTGACTATTTGTGCTGAAACTGCATCATGAGTAAGAGGTCAACACCCACAGCTCAGAAAAGCAAGGCCTAAGTAGGATCTCCAATCTATCTGTTTTCTTGTAAAGTAGGTCTTATTTCTTCCTCTGTGCAATGACATTTAGACTTTGTTTAACACTAGGGTATTCCCTTTGGCTCTAAGAACTTCTGGGAAGACAGCTACACTCAAAATGCTATGCCAGCTGTGACCAGATTTTTTCATGGAGACAACACTATCAAAGTTGTCACATAAGTTTTGTATCTCTACGAAGATACTGTGTTTAGAATAACAACAACTGCATTAAACAAATTTCTACTTAAGCTTTGTCTCTAGATACATTTTTGTACTGACAGTTCTGTTTCTGTGAGCCCCAGGCACACGTGTGGGACACAGTCAAGCTCTGAGCACTAAACCTTAGAATGGCAGACTCTAGTTACACCAATTACACACTATGCAGCTCCACATCTCCCATATGTAAAGCAGCAATACAATCCTTGCTAACACCTCCCCAAGGGTGTTGTGAGGATTAAAGATTTGTACAGCACTTTATTAATTCAAAGGGCTATGTCTAACACAGCAGATGTGGTACTCACTTCAGTGAGGCATCACTGGGCACCTTTTTACAATGAACAACCCACTTAAACTTTCTTCATTGGGTGAGAAATTATATTTCTCCCAAACATGTGATTTGATCCCCAGCTATTAGTAAGTGTTGCAAAGACAACAAAAAATACCTTCACTTCAGAAGAGTTAAATGCATAAAGGATGGCAGAACAACTAGACTTACAGAAACAAAAATCTTTATGGTTGCCAAATTCACAAAAAGAGATAGAGGCAATCTTTTGAAATATATTGTCTTCTGAAAATTTCCAGTGCCCAGTGCTTGCTATGGTGAAAGCCAAAGTAACCAGAATACTACCTGAATACAGCAGAAGGTGCCCTGGTGCTCCATGGTAGATTTTAAGGTCCCTGAATTAACCCCAGGTGACCAAAGCCCAGTAGGATAATTATGAACAAACCAGTATCTAGCAAAGTACTGTAAAAATGTGCGACGCAGGTTTTTATAGGTTTTACCTATAAAAGCTACTACATAAAACTCCACTTCCACATAAACTTTTTAAGGAAAACAGGATAATTATTGCTCTAAAAGAAAGATGGTAATCTACAAATAAAAGCACAGGGACTGTTTCAGCAGTCTTGGATGCCTGTTAGGTCCAGACTCTACAGGCTGGCCTCATCAAATTTGTTATGGATTTATATGAAGAAACTTAATTCCTGTAGAGAATTTAGCAGACCGCAAAGGAAAAAACAGCAGCAATATTTCTGTGTAATTCTGAGAGTCAAACAACACTGTAGTATATAGAGACTACTGAGCCCGTTATTAAAGCACACAAGCTACCCTAGATGACACCCACCTCACTTCTACAGGAACCCCTGACAGATGAAAGATACACCTGAAATAATTTCACTATGTGAATTTCACAGAAGAAAAGCTTCCTTCCAATTTTATTATACAATAACTGAATGTCATTTTCTACATAACAGGCACAGGTCACAAATGAAAGGTTAAACAACGATAAGTGCAACACCAATAGCCTATGTTAAGAAAAAAAAACCCTGTTTATCCTTACAGCTCACAGAGCTGTAAATTTAGCAAATCATTACGAGCGGTATGGTCATCACATACACAATGGCTCAGTTTGGTGGCAGAAGGTGAAAGCAGGGGCATAGAGATCTAAAAGAAAGATTAGAATTAACTGTTCTCTCTTGACAACTATGCTGGCCTCCCGTACTAAAGTGAGTGGCAAAATGGGCGGCGAAACTTTTAAAGTCCTGAACAAATCTATCCCATTTAAATAAAACTCCAAAGTAAGGCATCCAGCAGCAGGGCCGGCAGGAGTAAGCTGGCACCTCCGCTCCCAGCCAGACCGCCTTTGTTCGCTGGTGCCAGCCGCCGTAGCATCCATGGGAGCACAGAAGCCCCGCTCAGGTACACCGGGGGGCCGCGGCATCCCGGCGCACCCGCGGAGCACCCGCGGGCCCGTTCGCAGCGCGGGGCCGGGCAGGAGAACCGCGGGCTCTGCGCGGCGGGGCCAGGCTGGCCGCGCCCGGGGAGCCAGGGGGGCGGCGGGACCCTCACTCACCTCTTCCACCTCGATCTCTTTGTAGTCGATTTCTTCGAAGTTGAGGACCGGGGGGGTTTCAATCATTTCAGCGGAGGCGGCAGCGGACATGCCTCCTCTTTCACCGCAGGGAGGAGAGGGGGCCGGGGCTACGCGAGGGTCCGGCACCGGGCAGCCGAGGGCCGGAGCCGGGGCTACGCGGGGCTCGGCGGCGGTTCCGGGCGCAGGTCGGGGCGGGCCTGGCCGAGGCGCCGCCGGGGCCGCATCCGCGGCGGCCTCGGGCCTCAGTGGCGGCGGGCACAGGCCCCGGCGCCGCCGCTGCGCATCCCGCGCCCTCCCGCACCCCCGCGGGGCGCCGCGCCGACTGCCCTAGGCCGCGGCCTCTGCGCAGCTCGGGACCGCCTCGGCCGCGCGTCCCCGGGCGAGAGAAGGCGGCGCCCCGGGGCCGCAGCCGGGCTCCGCCGCCAGCCCCAGCGGCGGCAGCGGGAGAGGGGGCCGCGGCGGGGGTGGGGGAGCCGTTCAGAGCCGCGCCGCGGCCGCCGCCGCTGACATCAGAGCCGCTTCCTGCTGCCCCGGCCGAGGAGGGAGGGACGGAGTGAAAGAGTAAGGAAGGGAGGGAGGGAGCGCCAGGCGGGGGCGGGCGGGGAAGCGCCGGTAGCAGCGCCTCTCGGGCGGCCGCGGCGGGGCCACGGCCTGGCGGCGGCACCGCCCCCGCCCCGCCCCACGCCCCCCGCTGCCGCCAGGGGGAGCAGCGCGGCCCCTGCCTGGCCCAGCTTCCTGTTCCTGCCGCCTGCCGGAGCCGCGGGCAGCGCCGGGGCCGCGCGTCCCAGCCGGGGCTGCAGGGCTCAGTCCGGCGGGGCTCCCCGCGCTCCAGGCGGCTGCCGGACACAGCCCCATCCCGGGGCTGCGTGTCACCGCCATGCGAGTGCCGGGCGCAGGCCCTTCCCCTGTGTATGTGCTTGTATTTGTGCAGGGCAGGTGGTGTTGTACCGGGTCTTGGGACGAGGGCAGGCCTTGTGCTTTCTCAGCACAGCGGTGCTTTCTCAGTGGAAACCTGTGTGTGGGAGGGTGGCTGTGGAGTCAGGGAGAACGGAGCGGTTGATGTAAACGCATAGTAATAAAGCGATAGGGAATGAACGTATACCTTAACCACTCCAAGGGAGTCTTGACCGACTCCTTGCCAAAGCTGTCTGCTGACCCTGCTTCTGCTTTTGGCTGCAACACCCTCCCCATTAGTGTTTCGGTGGTAAATGTGACAGACTGATGCTTCAGGGCAGTCCATGGTGTGAAATCACTGCTGAGATGAGTGAATAGAGCTGCTGTGTTCCCCTGAAACAGCTGTGCTTCATTTTGATATGTTTAGCCTTCGGGCTATATATAAAAAGTTATGTTATTGTACAATACTATTAATAGTATGTAATTTTAGTAGATCTAGTAAGCTTTCCTAGATCTTCCTCTGCTAGCGTGCTAGTGAATGTCTGTGCCTCACAAGGAAGTCTCATAAATGTAGAGAGATCTGGTTCACAGAGCTAGCCTGAGAAAGCCGCTTAAGCAGTTAACTAGGAAAAAAAATCAAGGATGAATATGGGAAGTCACCTAATCTTACGGTGGCTCAGCTGTTGTCAGAAAAGCCAAAGTGAAAGTACCTCTATCTGAGCTGCTGCACTTTGTGACAGGTTGCTATTAAGGGTTGCTTGCTCCCCTCCTATATTTTTCTGTCAGCTTTTATAGTTTGTCCAGGATTCTCAGATGTACACCAATCCAGAAATTGCAGCCAAGCAGTCACAGTACGTGTTGACTCTGTTGCATGCAAGATGAAACTCGTATGCAGGGCTGGTGGGGTTGGTGCAATTACATTGCCCAAGCAATCTGTGTGTGCGTGGGGAGCAGACTCATATGCTGAATGTGCTTTTTCTGCTGTTGCTGTTTGATTTTCTGATATGGTTTGGTGTAGAAAGATCTAAAGAATCTTCTGTTAGTCCAAGTACCACAAAATCTGGCTAATATCTGCTTCATCCAGCAGTGGCATTATCCAGAGCCCCTACTTTCTCAGCTTGTTTATGGGTTTGGATGTTCATACTGACTCTGACACCCCCTTATACCCAGTGAAGCATTTGAAAGCCACTATTAGTGCTCATCTTAGTCATGCTGTGACAGTCATAAAGAACCGTGTTTATACCTGGACCTCATAATTTCTCACAGGAAAGTGTATCACTTGTGTAAGCAGCTGCTGCTGCTGTCTCAGCTGCTGGAGTGTGCAATATATTGATTATTGGAATTAGGAATATGGATTTCTGAGGTATTGAGAAAACTGCAAGTCCAATAAAAACCAGACTCCTTTCAGTCTGGTTCATACTGGCTTCATACTGCTGCATGAAATGCTTCAGTTCTCTAAACACTTGTAGATCAAGACAAGAAACACCTGAAATCAACTGAAGCTAAGGATAAAGTGCGAATGAAAAGAAAGGGAGGTGTGAAAATCTATCACTGGATACTTGAAATCCATCATCCTGATACTTAGTTGCAATCATGAGCACGATCTCAGGCCAAAAGCGTTACATTTCATTTCTTTTTTGGGCACATATCCATTGGGAAGGGTGAACTACATTAGTAGTTTTTTTAAGAAAGATGGCCAAGTGGGTGGTTGTGCTTTAGGGGGTGGCAGTTGGTGATCTCTGGTAAATGTAACTGAATATTATTTGGCTTTTTGTTATGTTTCACAGGCCTTTCTTGAGGGTATGTATCAGGCAGATGGCAGTTGCAGTCTTCTGTTTTTCAGTGGAGAGATTTTTCTGTTGCCTTTGTTACGTTTTGTTGATGGGTATTAAGACAGCAGAAGAGAGCATTCCAATTATAGCTGCTTGTAAGGTTAATTTCCTCTCAGAAATTGATGTGGAAATATGTATCTCAAAAATAATGAGCTCTTTCTTTGTGAAGGCAGAGTCATCATCATTATCAAAATGTCACTGGTGTGAAGATCAGGAGGGGTTTTAAGTATGTAGTAATATTGATTTTTTTTTCTTTTTTTCCTGACTGACACAGTCTTAATTAATTAAGATTAGCTATTTTGTGGACAGGGTATTGCTTGTACAGCCGCAAAATATTTATTCAACAGATACAGGAGAAAAAGAAAAAGAAAAGCTGCACCTGCTGTGCTTGTCTTGGAGAAAAATGGCCCTTGTGTTTAGAAGAAACACCTAGAACCTGGGAAGTCCACATTCTGGGTCTCAGCCTCTCTCTAACATTGAAAAGTGGTTGCATTGCCTGGAAGGTTGCTTGAAGACTGTTGGAAAGGTCTGGGTACCATGGCCAGAGTGTGCACAAATATTCCAACCTGAGACAGCTGCTGTGGTGCTTTTTGTCACACCTGTCTTAGAGTGTAGGGCTGTGTTTTTTTCAAAAGAGACAGCAGTAAGTCTGATGCAAAATATAAACAAAGTCCACCTGGATAATTAACAGACCTGAGGTTTAGCCCTCATAGCTGCATATGCTAAAGAAAATTTATCCAATATAATATGGAATTGTACAGCTTAGAATTTGGACACATTTTCATGAATAAAAACAAAGGCACAGATAGATTATCCTGACTACTCTTTGTCCATCTCCCTTAAAATTACTCTGACAATTTTTAAAGAGGGGTGAATTATTTTCCACTGACTTAATTTAGAAAAAAGCTAAGTGATTTCTTCTTTCAAAAGACTTTAACTCATGTTGTTTTTTAGTATATGCATTAAAAAAAATTGGTTAAAATGTCTCACTTTAGGTGATTGAGGATTGAAACTAGAAAACAGTGGTGGAACATATTGAATGGTATCTATAATTGGAATGCCTACAACAAAAAAGGTTCCCTTCTAGATTAAGCGCAGGAATATGTTTCTGCCACATCTGACTCTATTTTGTCCCTGTTAAATATTGTCCTGTAAATATGAAGTTATGTTATTTCAGTTTGTGGGAACCCTCTGTGATTAAAGAGCAGGTTCCTGGTGACTGTAGGATGGAGAACACTATGAAACACACATGTGCCCCACAAATTCACGTCCCAGCTGGGAGGCACCCCAGAGAAGCCTGCTTCTCCTTCCAGTGCAGGTACAGTGGAAATATCTCATGAGGACAAATCACTGTGATGATATTGAGAGACTTCTGTTTCTCTGCATAGCCAAGTTGTTGCCTAATTCGGTCTTCTCATGCAACTCCTTTGGTTTGTACATTAATATTTCCCAAGAGCAGGTTGCAATATTGTGTGTGTGTCAGATTCCACTTTGAATCTCAATGATTTCTTCAATTATGTCCTGCATTAATGGTTGCAGTCTTGGGAACCTTGATGGGAACACCCTTGTGTGTCTTCTGCCAAATACACTGAGATAGCACCCCCAGCGTGCTTCATGTATTTTTATTGATTCTTTTGCAGTCTGGGAAGATTTCCCCATAGTATATAAAATCTTCTAAATAGCTATTAATTCCTTCAGTGGTGGTGTTCTCTATTATTTGTGATAAAATACATCTATTAAAAAAAAACAGACTAAAAAAGCCTTGCAAAATAAATGCATGAGCTGCTTTGCTAAATAGCAAACTCAGTTGTATGCAAGGAATTGTATTCACTTTAGTAAAAGGTAAATTTCTGTTGTATAAGTATTACAGAAACTCAAATGATCATATTTGTTTCTGCACTTTATTTTGCCTCCTAGTCTGGGACATGTTAGATCTCCCAGAGTTTTCCAGCAGTCTAAACCACAAGAGAGCCAGGAAAGTCAAATAATGCAGCAACTGTGCAGTAAGGGCTCAGCAAAGGTGAGAGACTACCCAGATTCAGTCCTGTAACCAAACAAACACATTTTCTCTGGTGCAGCTATCAGCAGCCGGGCTTGGCTAAGTGGCCAGGGGGAGAAAGATAGCAACAAATTTAGCATGGAGAAGGAGGAGACAGATGGCTGTAGACCGGCTGATCTTGAACTGAGAGGTCTGAAAGATATAGTACATGAAATTGCTGATAGAAGATGTGTTAGGCAGAGGCTTAAATGTAGGTAGCTATAAAGTAGCAAAGGTATTTTAGAAAGATGCAAGAACAGATCCAGACATCTAAGTGTCTTTTGCTCTGCTCTCAGTAGGCTTTAAAATAAAATGTAATGGAGAGAATAATAAAGAGCATGGAGGTAAATGGAATGAAATGTCACATCCTTTTAATCAAAGGTCAATTATCTCGGATTAACAAAAGATCATTTTTGAGATATTCAGTGATATTTTTAGGCAAGGAGAATGGGTCGAACTATTCTATCTTGAATGTATTTGATATATTGTCTTGTGGGAAATTGTTAATTAAGCTGGACATGATAGGAATCATTAGAAGAACTGAAAATGGGTAAAGAAAGTAGGGGAGTGGTTAGGGGACAGTAGAGACTATCAAAAGGGAAGTATTGGAATGAAGTTACTAATAAAATCTTCTTTTCAGGATTGAATTTTGAGAGAAAGCTTCTTAGTAATTTCATTAACAGTGTTGATAAAAGAATTAAGAGTATGAC